CACCGACGTGTCAGCCAAGGTGCCACGTGTCCTGGTCGTGACGCCTAGGTGATCTCGGCAAGGCCGAGGTTATCTCCAAAGATATCGGAATCCGAGATAAGCGGATAAAGGACAAAAGTCCTAGAATGAAGAGGGAACTCAACCTGGATATGGACAAGAGTCCCAGATTAGGAGAAGTCTTCAGTTTGGATAAAGATTAGACTCTTAGAGAGTTTATCCTAATCTCACTGGGAGTCCTAGATTAGCAGTAATCCTAAGTCTATTAGGGCCAGGCTCCTATTGGGACTAGGATTGTATTGGCTATAAAAAAGAGACACCCCGTGGGTCTAAGGTACGCAGTTTTATGCTTTGAGTAGTGAGTTTAGCACTTGATTATCTTTGAGAGATATACTGACTTGATCGTCGGAGTGCCCCGGGTGGAAAAGCCACTGCTGGAGCCTTTTTTTCTGTTACAGGTTTGCTGAAGCCATCTATTCTGTCGGTGTTCTCCAGCTGATTGCTAGACGAGCATTCCAAAGTGATTGCAAAACTTGTATTTGTTCCTTCATTAAAGTTTTATGAACTAAAATCGGAAGAAAATAATCTTTGACAGATTTTTTGTTTGGTTAAAACGTGGGTCATAATTTCTTAAAAGGGTTCTGTCACCTGATTTATTTGAAATAAAATATATCATATTTTAATTGTTAAAAAAAGGGTTTCTTTATACAATTGTATCCCTACATAGTACATGTGGCTAACTAATGAAATATTAACTATAATTATCAGATAAATTTAATTTGATTTGATTTGATTATTTTTTTATTTATTTTATGATATTTATCAAAATTGTCACAATATTTTTTTAAGATCTCTGATATTGGGGCTGTTTGGGAAGTGATTTGGCCGGCTATTATAGCCTAAAAAATTTTTTTAGCCAAAAAGCCATTTTGCAAGCTTTTTCAAAAAAAAAAAAAAAAAAGCCTGCACAGCGGCAGTGTAGGCTGTGCCTACACTGTCAGCTACCAAAATTAATCCCATCAATGGTAAATTACGGTTTTAACCCTTGACAACAATTTAAAAAAATATACTTTTAGGGGCAAATTTGTCATTCTAATTTTAAACATCATTTCAACACATTTTCCAATACAACAACCCAAATAAAATTCATCTCAACTTCCCAAACACAAAAACTAAAATAGCCTACTAAAATAGCCAAAAAGCCAAATAGCCTACTAAAATAGCCCCTTCCCAAACGAGGCCATTAAAATTTTATAAGACAAATGACATATAATATTTTCACAGTAGTTAAGGTACCTCAATATTTCTACAGAAAAAATTTGATTCAAAGAAATTTTGTCCGACTCAGAGAAATTTTAGCATCGACTCAGAGAAATTTCAATTTTCATAGTCGGGCAAAATTTTTCTGAGTTGAATTTTCTCTGTGAAAATGTTGAGAAGCCTTAACTAATAGAAAATTCCTAGAAAAAAACATCTTAGACCTCTCCTACTACACAAAGTTGGAGAGAGATATTTTACTAATTTTTCCTTTTATCAAAAGTACCCCCGACAAAAATTGACTTTAAGGATAAATTAGGAAAACTCGAAAAATAAAAAATAAAAATAGACGTGATAAACGAACCGAATAACTTGAGCTCGACCCATGTTCAGCTTGTTAAAAACTTGTTCGAGCTCAATTCGTTAAATAAACAAATCAAGTTTGAACACATTTTAGAGCTTATTAAGATTTTCAAATCAAATTTGAACAGTCAATTATTTGTTTGACTCGATTCAATAAGTTTAAAATTATATAAAATATCAAATTACTCGCACTTAGCTTAATAAAAATTCGTTTAAAATTAGCTCGAAATTTAACAACACAAACTTAAACAAATTTTAAAATTTATTAAAATTATCAAACCAAATTTAAACAGTGTTCTGTTCGTTCAATTTATTTATCACCCCTAAACCAAAGTGGGAGGAAAAAAAAAAAACTTTAAGAGCTAAAATGAAAAAATAACTAAGGGAGAGGCAAATGTAATTTATCCAAACCTCACCCTCTTGAGAGATATATAAACCTCACCCTCTCTCTTTATCTACTATCCTTCTTGAGTTACTACCAGCCATGAATGGCATCTTAATCCCTACTCTCTCTCATGCTCATGGCCATACTTCTCTCCCTCTCTCCCCACCCACCCAATCCCCCCCAAAACCCTAACCTCAAACCCAAACCCAAACCCAAACCCAAACCCATCTCTCTCTCTACCTTCAACACCTCCAAACGCCATTTCGTCTTCCACACTGCTTCTCTTTGTTTTCTCTCTCTAACTCTTCACTACCCAATTCCCATTTCCTTGGCCGAAAAATCGCCCTCAAAGTCGATTCTTTCGGGCATTGCGAACACCAAGTCTTGGTTCCAGTTCTATGGCAGCGGCTTTGCCATTCGCGTTCCTCCTCAGTTCGAGGACATCATGGAGCCCGAGGTGTGTTAATTGTCATGCTCTGATAATATTGGGTTTCAAATTTTAGGCTTTTCCGACCTTTAGGTTAATTTCTTTGATGATAACAATATTAGATTCTGGGTTTTATTATTTCCATTTTTTATATTTCATCATTTTGAATTTTTTGATTTCAGTTCATTTGGTGGTGGTCCAATTGGAGATGATTGTTCAAAATCAGTAATATTTGAAATCTAATTTGATGATCGAAAAGGTCATTTCAAAATTTGAGTGATTTAACCATACAATTAAACACTCGTCAAATTGGTTGTGGGGGTAATTTGTTCAAAACAATAAGAAAAATAAGTGCTTGGTTGTTCAAATTTTGAAATGGCATTTTTGCCCATATGTAATTGGACCACATGAACTGAAGTGAGAAAGCTTTAGTTTAGGGTTGAAATAGAAAAAAATAGTGATGGTTTAGGGCATAAAAGTGAAATTAACCCTTAGATTTTGTTGTCCTATACTAAGTTTGCTGATTAACCAAATCTAATTGTTTAATCATTCTAGGATTATAATGCTGGATTATCTCTTTATGGAGATAAGGCTAAGCCAAAGACCTTTGCAGCACGGTTTGCATCTTCAGATGGGTAAGAGTTGTCTTGTTGAAATTCCTTTCTCCTTACTGTTATTTGTTTTTTTAATTATCCGTGGCACAAGTTGCATTTGAACTTATTCTTCTCAAGTTAAAAATTATTTTTCTTATACATTATTTTATTGATGCTTATGTGCTTAGAAGCAACTGATATAAGTATTTTAATGGGTAATTTACTCCTGGTGTTTTAGGCCCAAAAATACAAAGTCCCCCCAATATATGTTTTGTGGCACTTAAGTCTAAACCTCCTTGTGCTTAGGGTTGAGCAAAAAAACTGTAAACCAGTCCGATCCAAATCAAATTGCATGGTTTGGGCTTGTTTCCTTTAAATTGGTTGGTAATAGTCATGCACCAGACGGAGATTTAAACATCTTTGGGAAAGTCCCTAGAGAAGCAACTTCCTTGAGTCCCTCATCATGTTATTTGGTTGTGCTTTAGTTCAGTTGTGTTGCGAGGTGGATGAAGTCCAAGGCTTTGGGTGCTATGCTCAAAGTCTTGGGTTGTTCTGTGCTGTTGAGTTGGGTATCTGGTTGAATTCCTAAATTGGGTATTGAGGAAGCTGGTTTCTTGGTTATGAGGGAGCAATTACCTTACATTTTTTCAGGGGAAATTTGTATTCTCAATCAAGGGTTTGGTGGCCTTTGTTTTTGGTAGTTCTTATCTCCTTGTAGTTTCTCTTGAAGCACGGACCCAGACATGTGACATGACATGGACATGCAGACCTTAGTTGCACGATGCGGGAGCGGGGAAACGTGGCCACTTAGAGGAGTTGTAGATTAGGAGCACTTATGTATTATTTTTATTAATTATATTTTTAAATAATATATATAAATGTATTGTGAGATATAATTTTTTTTCTCCAATTAATATTTGAAATATATTATAACTATCATAAATTGTATTTTATTTTGTGTTGTTAGATTTTACTTAGAATTAAAATCTATTTATTTTGTAGATGAATTTTTTGTAGATATAAAAATTAACATTAATTTAATATATATATATATAACCCATTACATTTATATTTATAAAGGTAAAATAAATAAATAGAGAAATTAAAAAATATATTAGAATAATTATAAAAACAAAAAAAATTTATAATTTCAACCATTATACATCACAGGAAAAACAATCATTGCATCAGCCCACCTCATTATTATGATATAAGCACTACACAAAAAGTAACAATTAATATTGACTTCTTGACTTCTTTCCCATCTTCTTTATTTAATATTATATTATAATCAAAAGAAATAAAAAAAAGAAAGAGAGACTAGGAGAGAGAGAGAACATGTCGACAATAGGGAGAGAGAAAATAGATCAGAGAGGGAGAGAGAGAGAGAGAGAGAGAGAGAGAAGAAGAAGAAGAAGAGATGGATCGACTCAGAGAGAGAAGAGGAGATCGATAGAGAAGATCAAATCGAGAGACGAGATCGAAGAATTGATTGGCGAGAGACAGAGATGAGGTCTATCGAGAGACGAGATTGAGAGTGAAGAATCGATTGGCCCGAGATCGAAGCCGACGACCAGAGGGAAGTCAGTGACCAGGTTCTCGTTGCTCTATCCTCTTTCATTCTTCTGTATTTAGGGCTATTTTGTTTCTTCTATATTTAGGAATCAATCAGATTCACGTTTCTCTCGCATCGAACTGTGTGATTCTTCTACGAATCTGAGTCAGAAGCGCAGAATCGTGCTTTTGAGGAAGAATCGTGAGCAAGTTTAATGATTCATGCTACTAAGATGCGGACATGCAAATTTTCAAAAAATGGGAGGCACGAAATTTATTTATTATATGTCATAAAATTATAAAAAAAATCATTAAAAAGTAATAAAAAATACAAAAAAACATTATTAAAAAAAAAGTCGAAGAGAGAGAGGTTTTTTTTTTGGGTAAATTAAGTCATAAAAGAGAGGTTAATTCAACATAAAAAGAAAAAGAAAATAAAAGATAGAAAATCGAAGAAATAGAAAGAGAGCGACTGAGAGAGATCGAACGACGAAAGAAGATCGAAAGAAAGAAGAAAGAGAGAGAAAGAGAAAGAGAAAGAGCGATTGAGAGAGAGCGACTGAAAGAGAGATCAAAAGAAGAAGAAGATCGAAGAACATACCTTTGATAACAACGCGAGTAACGAGCAGCGAGCACCCTTCTCTCAGTCTCTTCGCTTCTTTCTGTTTGACATCTAGGTTAGAAATTGGTTAATTGTTTTAATTTTTGTTTTTTACAAATTGATCCCCACTTGAAGTTTAAGAAATTATGTTTTTGACTCCACTGTGTCCGAAACATGTCCCTCACATGTCCGGCTGCAAAAAAATTGAAAAAAAAAATATGGGACACCTTCTGTAGCGTGTCGGACACATGTCCACAACGTGTCCGACGCATGTCTGACATTCATACGTATCCCTTAGAGAGGTGTCTGTGCTTCATAACTAGTGGGATGCTTATTTATTTTTTTTTGTCTTTTTGGATGTTAACACGCTTATACATTGCACATCAACTTTGTACCCAAGCGATTTGGGATTTCGCTTCACATCTTCCCTCACGCCTAGCATAAGTCCCATTGCACGCACCACACCCATCTTTGCAGTATATCTAGCTTTGATACCATGTGACTCGGTCTTAGGTAAATCTCAACTCCTAAAGCTAATTTGTGAGGTGAGGGTGCCTTTATGCTTATGCACTGTAACACCCCCTTTGTACCCAGGCAATGTGGGACTTCACATTAGGTTGGGTAGAAAATGTGTGGGATACAATTGTTTTCTTGATGTCGTTTTGGGCCTTTATAACTAATGAATTTAAAGCAACTCCTTTGAGGGGATGGTTGGACCTCAAGCTATATTTTTCCTGGTTGCATGACAAGGCTTCTTCTTGTGTCTTGAGGCCTTTGCAAATAACCATTGTTAGATAACTCTGATGAATGCTGTTTTGGGTTTAGATTTTGTATTCAAGAGGTGTCTTTTGAGATTTTGCGGAAAATTCAATGGTAACCTTTCTTTAAAGTAGTTGGTATTGTTGTGCTATAGGGATGAATATTTGAACTTGCTTGGAAAGGCTTCAAGAAATAACTTTCTTGGGTCCATCCTGTTATTTGGTTGAGGCTGATTGAGGTTGTTTTGAGAGGGACGAAAGGCAATGTTCTTGGGCCTTGGTGCTTTGCTCATCTTTTAAGAAGTTTAGGTTTTCTTTTGTGATACTAGCGAAATAACTTAAAAATTCCTTGTTTGGCTTAGGAAGCTGGTATATTGGCTAAGGGGATTACTCAGATTACTCGGATGTCTCTAGGGAAACTTTTATTCTCATTTTGTGTTTCGATGCATTTTGTCTTTTGTCATTCTTGTTATCTTATCTGCTTGTATTTTTCTCTTTCTAAGTAGGACGTTACTTTTTGAGTTTTCTTTTGAACTTTTTCTCATATTTGCTGGCCTTGAATCACTTGTGTTCAATTGGATTTTTTTATTTATTGTCACAGTATATATTAACTATCTTAAGGAACAACATATGCTGAACAAAATGTATTAATTTACTTCTCTCTCTCTCTCTCTCTCTCTCTCTCTCTCTCTCTGTTGGATAGACAAAGCAAATTTCCATGTTACTCATTATTTTACATTTGATTTGGTCACTCATTCTTATATTGGTCAATATTTGACATAGATCTGAAGTTTTAAGTGTTGTCATTCGCCCATCCAATCAACTCAAGATCACCTTTTTAGAGGTTAGTGCCGCTAAACTTATGGTATTTATTAACACTTTTTCTTTTTTCCTTTCTTGTGTACATCTAATCTTAGTTGCATAAAGTAGAAGCGAGGGCAGGGTAAGGGGAGTGAGGGCACATAAAAGAGTCTAATGTTGAGAGCGTATGGGGGAGCATTAACATATAATATATTATAACAATTTTTTTATTAGCTGTAATATATTGTTAAATGTCTACAAAACATTACCATTAAACCATTTAAACATAAGCGTTGCCAACTCTTATTACAAAAGTAATAATTCATCGTCAATAAGATATATCAGTACTCCCTAGTCCTTGCAGAACCCACATTGAAATATCTATAAAAAAATCTCCATCCTTTAATTCTTAAGAGGAAAGCCAAAATCTACGATAAATATATGTTATCTAGAGATTTTCTTTTGCCGTAGTAGCTTTTCTTTTGTTTCTTTGGGATTCATATGTTTAAGTGGCTCCATCCCAGTTGTTCATTACTTTAAAAATTTTAAAATTTCCTGTACTTTAAAATTTTTCGCTTGTTTCATCCAGAGTTATTCAATAGGATTGTTATAATAACGTAGTACAGTGGCATTGCACTTAATTATTTTCATGCACATATGTAATGGCTATATTTCATTCCAAAACAATTATTCCAGATTATACTGAATTCCTCATGAAGCAAAATCTCCCAAAGAAGACTTGGAATAGTCCAAATTAGCAATAAGCTAGAGGTTTTGGTGATGATGCTAATTGTTTGAGGTCACTTGGCAAACCAAGGGGTTGTAGCCCATGTGGCTAGTCCTTTGGCCACCAAGTCTCTCTTAAGGGGAGGTCTTGGGTTCCACTTTTAGGAGTGGAATTGGGAGGCAAGCCTGAAGTGCTTGCAAGGAGAGAGTGTGAGTTCAACTCTCCTAAGGTGCTATTCTAACGACTAACCACTAACTTTCGCCAGTAAAAAAAAAAAATACTTGGCAAGTGTGACAAAAAGAAAGAAAAAGAGTTTTGATGCTACAATGGCCATGCTGCAATAGTAATTGTCGTCAATCTGTTATTTAACTGTCACAAGTTTTAACCAACTTGCAGGCGAAAGATATAACAGATTTGGGTTCATTGAAGGATGCAGCAAAAATATTTGTTCCAGGTATTTTGTTTTGAGTGCTTAATTTCCCCTTTTCCTGGATCCCATAAGCAAAATATTACTCTGGAATATTTTCTTTTCTCGTGGCACATGAACTGTTTTCATGTTTTTTATTTTTGTGCACATAAGTTGTTTTATGTGAATAAGCCTTGACTCTTTTTATTTTATTTATATATATATATATATTATATGTCAATTGTTAATTATTATATAATTAAAGACCTTTGACTTGTTCCTGATTCATCTAGAACCGATTTTAGTCCTCAATCTGTCTTTACTGCTGTGGCAGGTGGGTCAACTCTATACTCTGCTCGCTCAATAAAAATTAAAGAAGACGAAGGCTTCAGGTAAGTTGACATCAGGTTAACATTTTGGATTGGTATTATGCATGGCCATGTGCCTCAATTTATTTTGGGTGTTGGTGGGTTTTTAGGTGAGAGAGAACATCATAGAGATAAATAAAAAAAAAGAAAAAAAAAGAGAGAGCAGAAATTAACCATGTTTACAACCAACTTTCCTCATTAGCAATTAATACAATCTGTCTTGTCTTGAGGAACTTCAGGGTGCTACCAGATATGCTTGTTTAGAGGTCATTAAGTCAAATCGTTACTTGTCTTGGTAAGCTGAAAGCAAATGAGATATGTGATAGAATCACTATCCTGTCTTAAGTAGTTATGAATTGTTTTATAACATGTTACATTGACTTGGGTTGGGTGTCAGGTGCAGATGTGTCTAAATATCAAATTCATCTAATTTTCATGTTCAAGGACGCTAGGACATGGCTAGAGTTCATATTCATTAAAAAACTTGTTTTGTTTTTATAGGATAAAATGGTGCTAAAAAAAGAACGTAGGGGCATTTTATGTATAAATTGAGACTCCTATGCATAGTTATATAGTAAACTCGATTACTTGGGCGTACTTAATGGGTGCATGTCAAACTAAACATGCCAGACACGTACATATCGCATACCCTTACTCAAGTGTGGAGTGTTCTAGCACAAGTATTTCACAAATTTCAAAGAGTCCATGTAACTTAGGTTTTATTCTTGTATTTGCAGAAGTTTTTCTATTTCAGATTTTATTTATTTTTTCTTTTACGTTTGACTCAATATGTTTCAGGACTTACTACTTTTATGAGTTTGGTCGAGATCAACAACATGTTGCATTAGTAGCTACTGTCAACAGTGGAAAGGTATGTTGCATACTTTTTACTGTTAAAGATCAAGCTACTTTGGTCAAGAACTTTGTCTATGAAAATTTGCACCCACTGGCATTTCTAGTTGGTCGATCAACTCAATATTTTGTACTGACTCAAAGTCAAAGTCAAACACAACAAAGTCTTGTGCAAACTGCTTGGCATTTTGAGTTGCAGTTTTTGTTACCATGCACTTATCTCATCCGTTGAATCTTATAAACCCTATTTCTTATAGGTATTTATTGCTGGAGCTACTGGCCCACAGTCAAAGTGGGATGATGACGGTGTGAAGCTTCGTTCTGCGGCTGTGTCACTGACAGTTCTATGATCATCTGTGGGATGTAGCAGGTTTGTTGAATCACATGTTTATGCTAAAATTGCCCGTCTTGATAGGGAAAATAGATGGTATTTGAATTATGTTAAGTCCATTGTTACAAAAGGGCCCTTTTAAATAAACATAGTTGATGCCGGGATATCATTTCCTGAACACCTTTTTTTCTAATATGAATTTGAGAATAAAAATTCACACTTCACTTTGCTGAAGATACATGATTCTGTGCTCTCTTTTATATATTTTATTTTATTGTTTCAGTTGGGGAACAACAGCAAATGCAAATTCACTCGAGTGCAATGTGTCATCAGAATAAATCTTGAACTTGGGCCTGTTCATACAGTTATAGGCCAAGTTCACCATTTTGATGCCGAAGCGTTGACTTTCTGAAGTGTCGGGTTTAAAAAGTTGAGTTGTGAAGCAGAGCCAAAATTTTGGTAGCTATGAATTTGTACTCGGATCCGTGATACTTCTGGTTAGAGATCTTTAGAGCTTCGTGTTTTTTAGGTCAAGTTTCTTGAAGTTTTGTGCACCTCTTGTTAAGCCTTGCAAGCCTCTGTTTTGAGATTTGTTGTATATCTTCTTTTTTGGTAATAAAGCTCTCATTTATCAAAAAGAAAAGAGGCTAAAGTTGATTTTCTCCAAATTTTGGTAGCTCTATTAATACCGTCACCACCCTGAATGTGTGTGAGGAGGCGGGAGCGTGACGAGGAGTTTGGGAAGTGTGTTTAGAATCGTTGAAAGCAAAATTTTCATGGCATACTTTGGAATAAAGTTTACATGTTCCTCTATAGTTGCCAATGCCTTTGATACTCTTTACAAGCTTCTTTTGCTTCCAACAAAGGTAGATGAAGAACAAAAAGATTTCCTTGGGAAGAGTTGTTATAGCTTTATTCAAAGAAAAGAAAAGAAAAGAATGACTTCAAAACAAACTCTTTTCCTAGTTTCTCAGCCACACCATTGCAATATACCCTCTTTTAATATCACAAGAGTACTTTTCCAAGGCTACTCCAAAGAAAGCCAATAAATGGATAAAAGAAAAAACCAATCCTATTCTCTTGGCATTTGCAATAGACTCAATTTCATTAGGACAAGGTTTACACCGGTAACCCTAATGGGCTTCAAGGGCATGATCTTTCAATGTTCCTTTTGCCGTGGTTTGGCTGCGCTTTTTGACTTCATCATTCAAAGCCTAGCAGGGCAGGCAATTAAGCAGGTGCCTTTGGGGCCTCCAGTCCATAATAATTCACTCCAAGTGCCTACCTCCAATATGAGTCACCAGAATCTAGAATCGGACACTCATGAATGGTCTTGCGATGAAGGCGGTCAAAGCGCCAGGGCCAATTTTACTGACAAAAATGGAAACGATTTGTGTTTGGAAGGTGAGAAGGCGAGGGAAGATGTTGCTGCGCCAACAGTTGGAACTCAACCAGCAGGTCCTCCAAAAAAGACGGTCAGCTTCAATGACCAAGCAGAGGTGATCTACCCAAGTAAGGATAAGAAGAAGAAGAAAGAAACCAAGAAGTTGACTTCCATGGAAAGAGAAATGGATGAGGAGCCAAAACCTGGGAAATCAATTCTAAGGATGGGTTCTAATCTAAATGGTGAACAAGGCAAGCTATGAAACATTTGAAGTAATGGGGTTATAGTGATGTGTTGCAACCATGTTCATTAACTTTAACTGAATTTTAATCTCTATGTACTTGTTAAATTAATGTGAAAGAAAATGAATTGATAAAGCATCCCCACCCGAATGATTGACACGTTTAACAGCAAAAATTGACTTGTAACAGTGTTTTATGAAACTTGTAAATTAAGTTGGCAAATGGCAAATTCTCTCATGTTTACTATGTGGATTATATAGTGCAATTAAGCTTCGTGAGATTGCTAATAAGTTCGATTTTTTTTATAATTTAATTCGTTCATCTTTTAAATCTCAATATGTTGATTATTTGCCAAAAAAAAAAAACCTTATAGTTATTGCGGGTCATTTTTAGCATCTTATGCAAAAAAGTTAATTAAGATGGAGAAAACGAGAGTTTTTTTTTTTTAAAACTCCTAAAAAATATCTTCTAATTTTACTAAAAATGACATAGTATGTTAAGTGCCAACTTCTGATTTATTGAAATTACGGTAGATTCAACTCCTTTATCATGTCATTGTAAATTAATTTGAAAGTTTAAATTATGAGCCTTTAACATTTTTGAATTTTTATTTAGTCACATTTAATCTCACTAAACCAACCCTTCATAGAAAAATAATTAGACATTTGGGCCTATAGGATCACAATATATATATATATATTTTTTAATTTCTCATAATGCCCCAGCTATAGTAATTTCAAACTTATTCTCTTAAATCCAACAATTTTTTTGATCTAATTATTTTGAAGTTATAATTATCAACAATTATAAATTATAATTAATATGAATATTAAAAAGGGATGTTTAAAAAGTGCCATTGACCTTGCCCTTTGTTTTTCAGAATTGGGGATACTGTTGTGACTCTCATGAGAATAGATTTTGGATCTATTTTGATAATTTGATTATTCATTTTGTAAGGTTCATCAAATAAAATATTTAAGAAAATAATCAAGTTAAATGGATATTTATAACCATATAATACTATCATATTTTTTTAAAAAAAATAAATAACAAATATAATTTTGATAATAAACTATTTAATTTTAGACACTGATGATATGATTACGAATATCCGATTAACTTTTATCAAGGATACTCCACTTAGGTTTTTTTTATTTTTTAGTAAGTACTTAGGGTTGTTTTAGATATTATCTATAAATTGATTTTTTTTATTTATTACAAAAAAATTGCAAAAAAAAAAAGAAAAAGAAAATATGATTCAAACAAGTCAATATATCAATAGGCAGTTTGGGAATTGACTATTTTTTTGACTATTTGACTATTTTAATAGATTATTTAAATTTTTTGTATTTAAAAAAATAAGTTAAATTATTGTTGAATTATTATATTAGGAAATGTGTTTGAAATGATAATTAAAAAATGCTCCCAAAAAAAGTATGTCGTTGTTGAATGACGTGGCATTGCCCTCTGACTTGGGAATTGTATTTGGGCTCCGTCCGTGGTGTGTATCTAAATGTTCACATGGGGCAATTTGGACATTTGACGATCTGAGTTGGCAGTACTGTCAAGGCACGTGAACTTTTTTTTGTTTGTATATGTTTTTGGGCTATTTTATGTGGAGGTCTATTATGGGTCTTATTTTAATAATTTAAATTGTTTAATGTATAAAATTTATTGAGTATTATATATTGTAAAAAATTATATTGATCAAATATCGATAGCTGCATAATCAAATTAATTTTGTATTAAAAAAATGGACAGTAAAAAAATAAATAGTTAACAAAAATTTGATCCGATGAGATAGTTATCAATATCTAATCAACGTGATTTTTTATAGACATATAATACTTCATAAGTTCTATACATTAAATGATTTGAATTATCGAAATGAGATCTATGATGGCCCTGCTAACCTAACAATACTCTTCATCTGATCATAGATCAGAAGAAAACCCAATCCTATATTTTTTTTGTTATTTTAGCTTTGAGGTTAGAATAGTGTCCTCAACCTACTTGCATAAACTGAGGGCAAAAAATAAATAAATGAAAATTGTTTAAGGGCTTGAAATCGTTGGTTTGAATTGGCTCGTTTTGGGTTTCATTTTTTTTTTCTTTTTCTTTTTCTTGCTTTTTTTTCTTTTTCCTCCTTTACCTGTTTTTGAACAGAGACACAGAGTTGAGAGAGAGAGAAAGGAGAGAAGAGAAGAGAAGAGAAGAGGAAGAAAGAAGAAGGAGAAAAGATGGGGAGAAGGAGGAGGACGAGAAAAAGACGGTGATGGCGGTGATGGCGGAGAAGGAGGATCGACGGTGATGGCGGTGATCAGAGTCGAATCTGATTTGGATCTGATTCTTTTTTTTTTTTTTTGAGGCTGATGATGATGTGTTGATGATGATGATGTTGATGAAGATATTGTTGTCGATGATGATGATGTGTTGATGAAGATGTTGTTGATTTTTGATTTTTGATTTTTTTTTTTTTTAGTGGATCTGAAGATGTTTAAAAATCTGTGAAACCGAGGAAGAAGAAGAATAAAAAATCAGGAAGAAGAAGAAGAAAAGAAAAATGAAAAAGAAGATGTTCCCTCAACCTTTTTTTCTAGTGGATCTGAAGATGTTCAAAAATCTGTAACACAGATGTTGATTCTTCTTCATCCCATTTCTGCCCACACCAGTTTTTTTGTTGATGTGTTGATGAAGATTTTTTTGTTGATTCTTCTTCTTCCTCTTCTCTCTTCTTCTTCTTCTTCTTCTTCTTCTTCTTCTTCGTCTACTTCTGCTTGTTCTTCATCATCTTCAAAATAGTGAGGGAAAAAAAAAAAAAAAATTCAAAACGATGTCATTTTAGATTCGAGACAAATTCAAACTTGAGAATTTCGGACCATGTAACAATTCTGTAAATAAATAAACCAACTTCCATAAACTATTGAGCAGTCTGCGCAAACGGTGACCTATTCCATTCATTTCAATAATAATAATAAATGAGACAAGCATATTTTGTGCGTGTATCAGGTCAATTTTTTTCCATTCAATTGACTAAAATGTATTAGGTGTTCTTTGGAAAACCTCATGGTACACACCTTTATCATAAAATATTATAATTTTATTATAAAATTTCGTAATATTAATTATAAAATATATAATCTCACCATAAATTATCGTAATAAAAAATATCATAATCAAGTCACAAACATTTATTACATGAATCATAAAATTTTGAACATTTTATTACATTAATTTGTGATAAAATCACAAACATTTATTACATGAATCATAAAATTTTGAACATTTTATTACATTAATTTGTGATAAAATTACGTATCTTATAATTGATATTACGAAATTTTATGATAAAATTATACCATTTATTTATAATTGGTGCATATAGGATTTTTCTTATTTTTTATTAGTTTAGAAACATATTATTTTAATAATTTTTTAACTTTTTATGAAAATATATATAAAAAAATAAAAAAAATGATACGATAATTTATGATAATTTTTTAATTTTTTTTGACTAAAATTTTGAATCGTCAAACGAGGCCACCCATGATCACTTAGAATTAGAACTCAAGTTGGTATTTGGCGTCAAGTTAGTTGTTCAAAGGTATAGGGTAAGTTTGGGAACCTTATAATTGCCAAAAAAAGTAAGAAATTTTTTTTAAAAGTTAAGAATCATACAAAAAGTTAAAATTTTGCCTTCTTTGAAAAGAGCTAAAATACTTTGACTTTATGAGTCTTGTTTGATTTTTATTTTAGATTTTTTTGACTTTTGTAAGAGAAAAAATGTAATAATTATAGTTTAAATATGACATTTTATCTTATTGACTTATGTAGTCAATTTTGTCTTTTGTGCTTTTTTAGCCAAAAAGCCAAAATCAAACATAGCTAATTTTTTGCACATTTTTTTTGTAAAAAATTATCCCAAACATATTAGTTTTTTTTTTTTTACATTATATTTTAGCTAAAAAATAAAAATAAATAAAAAAATAATCTATTTTATTTGTTTAAAAAA